TGTATATATATATATATATATATATATATACACACACACACACACACAGAGAGAGTGTATATATATATATAGATAGATAAATAGATATATAGGTATAGATATATAGATATACACAAACACACACATGTGAGAAAAGCATATGAGGTTTCACACATAAGGTTAACAAAATCATATTAGTTTTTGTATATAAGGACATACCATAATTTAAAAAAATGCCTATTTTTAAAGCATACAAATGAAATATGGACACTCCATAAAGGAGGTTTTGTCAGATTTAGCTCACTTCTGGGGACTAATTTGTCCTCAAACTATAGCTATGAAAAAAAAAATCAACCACACACAATTGTCTTACCTGTACAGGTCCAATCATTTTATTCCTCCCTCCTGGCATCCCGTCCTCTCTGATAGCTGAAAGAGAGATAAAAATGTTATGTTTTGAACTGCATACTTCCATACTACAAATACTCTTTCTACAGTATTTACTGTGCATAACGTTTTTGTACTAAAAACCTGGATGATTTGTTATTATTTGCCAAAATGTGCACAATACAAGAGAGCACAGCATATATATTACATCCAACAATGCAATTCACTCAATATGTCATTATATGTTCAATCTGATTCATTAACCAAGATTTTTAATGTCTCTTTCTTGACTGATTTCTCAATGGGATTGCCAACAATATATTTTACATTAAAAATTAACCACATTCATATAGCTACATGTAATGCATTATACAGTATAAAAGCAGGTTGCTAGTATTGCAAATCAAATATTGCCAGAGGGAAGGAAGAGGAAGTAGGTGTCTGATAGAGCAATAAAGACCAACAGCTCCCTCTGGTGCAGACTGCAGGCAAGTACATCAACAGTGTTTGCTGTAGGCTAAAGTGTAGAAAATATAAATTATTTAATGTGTATGTGTGTCAGAGAGTTTTGCCCAAAAAAACAGACAGAGAGGGACATCATGCTGTGGATCAAGCAATCTGTTATCAGCGTTGCAACCCAGATCTCTATCTGATTTCTGTGCATTTTTCTTCAGGCATGCCCAATCAAACCCTGATCTATATCTCGTCATTTACATAATAGAACAATCAGATATCTGCTTCAAATGAAACAGCATCAAAGAGCAGACGAGAGGGATCCAGTTAAGAGGTCAATAAATAATAAAAAGTGTATAATCCTCGAACATTTTGTTTTTGTGTTTATACAAAAGACGTGTGCTGCATAATTAGGGTGAAATTGTAATTCTGAATAGATGCGTGTAAAAAAAGGAGAATAACACAGGTTAAGTTAAGAAAAAGACAAGACCAAAGAAAAAAGATGTTTTAGCTGATTAATAGCCAAGTCTTAAAGTTTCAAGGTCTTATAATATTTTTAGTATCAAAAACTTAAACTAAAAATAAATCATGGTTATTTTTATTTTCTTTTAGACAATGATAATCATGTGTGAGTGTGTGTGTGCGTGTGTGAGTGAGTGTGTGTGGCCGTGTTTCGCTCACCCTTGCGGTTCATTCCCATCTGAAGGCATTTCTGCAGTCTACAGTACTGACAGCGGTTGCGTTGCTTGCGGGACATCTGGCAGTTCTTGTCTCTGTTGCAGCGGTAGATGCGCTTGTTGCAGATACTGCGTTTGAAGAAGCCCTTACAGCCCTCACAGGAAATGATGCCATAGTGCAGCCCAGACGCCCGGTCACCGCAGATCAGACACCAACGCTCACCACCATCCTCTACAGAGAAAGACATTTAATTACACGCTAATTAAAGAGTGAGGCCTCGTTTTGCCTACTGAAGTTTACATTTCTTAAGTATTGGGAACAAATTATCATTAAAGTCCATAGTAATTAGTATCCGCTTCGCATTAAAAGCAAGAAAAATCAATGGTAGGCTGTGTCTTCCTTTAGATAGGTAAATGTGTATGTGTGAGGTTTTTGCTGACCTTTGGTGACCAGATGTATAGTAAAACATGAATAATCTACTAAATAAAACCTTAATTATAATCTAAAAATTTATTTAATTAAATAAATAAATACTTGAATGTTAATTGTATAAATAAATAAATAAATTAATAAAATAAAATACAATCTAAAAATGTAATAAAAATAATAAAATAAAATAGTATATAGTAAAAAATACATGAATGTTATTTATACATTATTAAAAATGAAATGAAATTGAATTAAGAAAATCTAAACATAAAATAAAACAAAATATGTGACAGTAATAATGTATTTAACGTTATTTTAATGCATTATTAAAATTAAATTACAAATCTTAAAATGTAAAAAGAAATGAAAAAAAAAGAACATTAAAATACATTATTTCATGATATTGTAATACATAAACAAATACAATTAAATTGAAAGAAAATAAAATGTAAAAATGTAAAAACAATAAAAAATTATTAAAATATATGAAAGTAATACCATATGTGACCCTGGAACACAAAACCAGTCATAAGGGTCCATTTTTTGAAATTGAGATTTACACATCACTTTAAAATAAGCTTTCCATTGATGTATGGTTTGTTAGGATAGGACAATATTTCGCAGAGATACAACAATTGGAATATCTGGAATCTGAGGGTGCAAAAAAATCTAAATATTGAGAAAATCACCTTTAAAGTTGTCTAAATGAAGTTCTTAGCAATGCATATCAAAAATTTAGTTTTGATATATTTACGGTTGGAAATTTACAAAAGATCTTGTAAATATTACAGTATGACTGGTTTTGTGGTCCAGGGTCACATATGCTATTTTAATATAATTAAAATAAAATAAAATTCTATTTAAGATATGAGAAAATGTAAAATATATTAAAATACAATTTATTATTTTGTTATTTTAATACATAATTTAAATAAAAATATTAATAAAATGTAACAAAAAACAACTTACATTTTAATACATGAAAAAGATAAATAGGTTTAGATTTTTTTTCTGATATACATATCAGTTATAAAAAAAACCAAGCACTAAGCATCAGTCAATGGGATATAAATATATTCTCAAATATAAGCTGACAAAATAAATAACCTTTTCTGTTAATTTTAAGAACAGGAAGACAATAATGACACACAGCTATCTCTGTGACGTCTGATAGTAGGTTAATCGGAGTTTACTGAGCTGCTGAAATCATTGTAATCACAAACGTATAAAGTTAAATAAAGTTCTTATCTAAATCTCAGCGCAACAGACAGCAGGATTACGTGAATACAGTGACATACGCGAACGCCAGGAATCTTCTGCAGTCTCACTGTGTTTGAGATGACTTACAGCATCATGCGGCGTGACCCAGATTTCACTACAAACCAAACAGACACAGAGCTGGCAGGAAGGGGGATGGGAAACATAGAACCAGAGACGATTGAACGTGATCTATATTTAAACAATATTACATGGCCCCACAGTTGAACTGATATTCAAACAAACAGTAGTCAAAATTTCTAGGAATATGTACAATCCCACACAGGGACTTTGCAATGATTCTCTAAATTAATCCATGATAGTTTTAAAGAGTAAGTTCACCCAAAAATGAAAATTAACCCATAAATTATTCACCCTCAAGTCATCCTAGGTGTATATGACTTTCTTCTTTCAGACGAATCCAATCTGAGTTATATTAAAAATCGTCTTTGATCTTTCAAGCTGTTTAATGCCACTCAGCGGGTGTTGCATGCATCAGTCCAAAAGAAGTGAAAAAAAG